CCAGACAGTTTCCTCTCCTGCTAAGCCCCCATCAGGTCCTATTGTGCTGTTCCTGAAGCCAAGTAGAAGGAATGTGTTTGGAGAGACGGAGTACAGACAGCAGAGATCCCCCTTGGGACAGTTTAATGATGATTTATTGGCCCTGTCATGCCACAGGCAACCCCTCTCAGCTTCTTGGAGGTTCAAAAAGATGTTCCATTCACCACAGGACTAAGCTGACAGACAGTCAGACAATGGCGGTCTGCCTGCCCAAATTTCTCCTCTCCCTTTGCTGACCTTTCCTTTAGCATCCCAGGAACGCTAAGCAGACATGGAGACCATGGAGCCAGAATAATTCACACACCATTCCAAGCAGCCCAGAAGACAGAAAGGGCAAGAACAGTAGAAGCAACGGGATTGTGCATCATCAATCCTACAGACACAGATCACCAATGGCTGGCAGTGGAAGAAATAGTGTTCTGTGACAGACACAGCATGACATAGTTGTCTGAGCATTGGACTATGACTCTAAGAGACTAGAGTTCAAATCTTTCCTTGTTCACAAAGACTTACTGGATGTCATTGGGTAAGTTACATTCTCAGCCTCAGAGAGAGGCAAACCCCTCTCAATGAATGTTGCCGTGATAGAGTTGCCATAGGGTCATATGTCGGAAATTATTTGAATGCATACAAGTATTTGGGATCAAAACCGCATCAAATTAAAATTTCCAAACGACTTAACAACACTTTAAGCCTTACCGGGCTACCCAGCAAGCAGAAGAGAATAACCCTTCTCCATCAGTGCTTAGAAATCTAATCTATTCATCTGCTAGATGTTGACCATAGAGCTATACTGTAGGACCCAGAGATTCCTCAAGAGCACATTTATAAAGGCATCTGTAGGTCTTCCAGCACAATTCTAAAGTCAGCTTCCAACATATGACTCTACTGTCTACTGTGGCCCCTTCAGCTCTTTGACTAGAAGTGACGTGTGTCACACATCCTAGTATATTTACAAAAAGAAACCCTCTCACGCACACCTTCCAAGCCTCTCTTTTTCCAATGCTGCCTGGCTACATCTCTGAGCCATCTTTTACTGTTGAGAATGGGAGTCCCCCTTTTCCGGACATCTTGTCAGATTAGCTGCTGGCAAGAATTGTCTCTGAAGCTCAGGCCAAGCCAGTCAGTTCGGCATGTTCCACGAAACAAATTTATGGAATTGGCCGGCTTCCTCTTTTCCCCTGCACCACCACCAAATCCTTTCAAAAGCATTTCAGTCACAGTGGGTCTGGGCATTATCAACTGCAGGAATTTCCATTCAAGGATTCTGGACTGCCTTAAAAGACTTAACCACTTCAGATGAGGAGGCAAGGGCAAGCCTCATGATTCCTGTAAGATACGTTATCAGTGTTGGCTAGAGACCTTTACCTGCCCTGAAGGAAACACATCATGCAATCCAGGTGTTCGACATAAGAAATCCTACCAACTAAGTAGATACTCTAAATGTGTAGGACTGTAAATTAGCCAGAGGATGTCTTACTAAGTGGAGCATCCTCTTTGTTTCACTATACCCTCAAAATATGATTTGGGTTGCTCTTGCCACTGACAGAAAGAGAATGGAGTGGACTTGATGTCTGCCATCGCCAGGAACCGATATCCATTCTCTGCCACAGTGCAATCTCAAGTTCTGGTTAATAGGGTGTTAAAAGCAAGAAAGAAGTCTGCATCCTGCACCTGGGGATCTCATCAAAGCAACTTATGATTTATGAGCACTTACTCACTTGAGCCTTTAAGCCCTCCATGTAGGAAATACCACTTGTGGGATCTGGAACCATTTTAAGACACAAGGGTTAACACTTCCAGCTCCTCCTGCTGGTGTACATGGTATTCCCCCCTCCCATCAGCTGTCCCAAAGAAGATATAAACAAGGGAAGGGAGTCTTCCTCCCTATAGAATCTGGCACTACTCACTAAGGAAGGAATGGGCACACCTCAGCTCTTCTCTGGCCTCTCTCTCTTCCTGCTAATCCAGATAGTTCCCGCCTGGACCACTAAAGAAGGCCATGGCCTGATGATGCAGGAGACAAGGACCGGGACCAGAAACATGCTACAGATGCTGCTAGGTAGGACAATTCCCTGGAAAAGAGTCCTCTAAACTTGTGCTCCTACCTAAGGAATTGGTTGTGTCACAGATTGAGAATGGTGGAAGAAAGATTATTATCAGCTTGCAAGCTAATAGTCCAAGGTGCGATGCTTGAATTCAGTAACCTAGGCGGAAATGCCTGCATGATGTAAAACCTGTGACTTGAGCTGTACTAGAGCTTGGGAACATAGGGTTGTTTGTTTGTTTGTTTTTTACTATAGCTTTCACAGTGCATATGTTGCTGGGTAATTATGGGAGATGCAGTCCCTCAAAACACTGGGCTGAGCACAATACTGCACTAAGGAGTAGGTGGAGTTTTGGAAAATGGAAAAAACAAACAAAATGAAATTCATCCCCTCTACTCCAATATCATAGGAGCCACACAGTTGCAATGGTTGGGTCACATACAACAGTATGTGATGCAAGTCTTTGATTCAACATACACAACGTCATTTTGAAAAATCGTACCAAACCTGTATCCTGAACAGCTTCACAAACATTGTGATAAAGGATACATGATCCTTCAAGTATCAAAGGTTAGCACCATCCTATCTCTCTAGCTTAGATGCAGAAGGAAAGCCAAATGAAGTATCAGCAAACATCTGGGTGAGTTATGGACAAAACTCACAAAGGTTTAAATTATGGCTCTAATTCTCCAGGTGTTTTTTACTATGTACCTCTACATTTCCTTACCACTGCCCATGATGGATATGAAATCTGAGGGCTACCATTTTCTCATTGAAACATTTAACTCACTTTCATGGTGGAGGACTGGATGAAAAATTACATGCTGCTTAAGCTGCTTCAAACAGGAGAAAAACATAGTATTTATTTAAACAGAGGCTGGGTGGCTATATGGTGGGAGCGCTTTGATTGTGTATTCAAGCATGGCCGAAGAATGTTGGACTGGATGGTCATTGGGATTTCTTCCAACTCTGTGATTTAATAATCAGTAATGGCTCTGATCTTCCAACTCTGTTTTTCTATGATTCTTAATTTAAGAAGTGCTTCATGATATTTAAGCCATGTTCACAACTTGATTCCAAATTTTGGAATACCTGCATATACATAACGAGTTATCTTTAAGATGGGTCTTGAGTTTAAAAATGGATGTCATATAAACTTTGTACACATTTTATTAATATTTTTAATAATTTTGTGCATGAAACAAAGTTTGTGTACAGTGAACCATCAGAAAGCAAAAGTGTCACCCACGCGGTCAATTCTAGAATATTTTAAAATTCCAGTTATTGGATACTGAACCTGCACCAGCGTTTGTCCCTGCATGCCCCCTTGGAAAAGCAACTTTATTGGACTACAATTCCAGGAAATCAGATTATATGGAAAACAGCAGAAGCTGATCAGGGAGTTGTGGTAGAGAACCTATAGAGAACATCTCAATGAAACTCAGCACAACTCTGTAGTCAATGTCCACCAGAAGGTGAGCTTAAAGTCACACCAAAAAATCCTTAACATTCTAGAGAGATGTTTTTGCAAATAAAAAATATTGCTAGTGTTTATTCATGGATTGTCTGCTTCTGCAGGGGTCTGGCACCACTAACCTGAACAAAAATTTAAATTCTACTGCCATAAAAACAGGAAGCCAGGTCATTCATTTCTTGATGCAGGCAGGCTGCACATCACAAGAGAATTTCAATTATCAGATCTGAAATAATATCAAATCACAAAGTACAAGCACCATATTGTGCACCACCGAGTGGTTCTTCTTTTGGTAATAATACTACTATATACAGGGCCAAACTGTTAGTGTACTTACCCTTGTGTTCTCTACTTTAGTGGGCATAAAATCTCGACAACAGGCATTTCCTTTTCTTGTCTGTTTTATCTGGTGACATCTAATGTCTAAACAAAAAGTAGGATTACTCTTATAAAGTTGTAACTATCTTGAAATCAAGCAATGGTTGTGCATACTCTTGTTTCTCTTCAGATTGTTTGGCTAAATGCTTACATCAGACAACAGGAATTTAGGATTCTCTGGATGTTTTTGGACTACAGCTCTCAGCATCTCTCACCATCAACTATGCTGGATTGGATTAATGGGGGCTGCTAGATCAAAAACATTTGGAGGCCATATGTTGCTCACACGTTTATTCCATGCAGATTCCAAGCAAAGCTAATATCACTTGCTGCTTTTTACCTGGTATCTCTGCAGACAGACTAAATTATCTTGCCTGTTTCAAGCAGCAGCAGGTGTGTGTTCAGTTTAGGTCCTGACCCTACTAATGGCTATCCCAATCCATTTTTATGCTAGGTCAGAATATAAAGTTGCTTATTCTCGCTACCATTCCTTCTCTCTCTCTTATTTCAAAAGCATGGACCTCCAAAGGAGCATCTGTAAATGCCGCAGGCCTCCAGACCAGCCCCTTGAACTACCCATCTGGACCATTCCCCATCCAGATGAGGGAACGACCCAAGCGTCACGCATGGGAGAGGCCTGAGGACCCAGAGTGCCGGCTACGGAGCCTGCTGGTTCGGATCAAAGACCTGGGCTTAGGATACAACTCTGAGGAGACCATCCTCTTCAAGTACTGCAGCGGGAGCTGCCCCAAAGCCCGCAGCAACCATGATCTGACCCTCTTGAGCCTCCTGCAGAAGAGTGAGATTCTGGCCTTGGGGGATCCCTGCTGCCGCCCCACACACTATGAGGATGTGGCCTTCCTGGATGACAACCACCAGTGGCACAGGGTGGAGAAGCTCTCTGCTTCTGCCTGCAGCTGTGTGGGCTGAGAGCCAAGAGCCCCCAGGGGTGGGAAGCAGTAGGAATGGAAGCAGACACTTGGAATGCACTCATAGTCCTAGCTGTAGAACAAGCAATCCTTACATTGTACCAGTCAAAGCCATGGCTCTCAAGTGTGCTTTTAGCAAGAGTTGCCCACCATGGCCTCCTGCATCTTCTCAGTACAGGTGCATAGCTGAATCTCAAGACAATGTCCATGTTCTTTTGAAGTACACAACTCACAAAACAGAAAAAGGAACTATCCCTAATCCTCTCTCCTCCTCCGCATAACTTTACAAACGAACATACTGCTGATTTGACTGAACCTTGTATGCATTAGGCCCGAGACGCTGAGGTAGCAGTCTGAGAGCTTAGCAAACTGAAGTATTTATGGATCATTTCTAAGTTATTTAATTTATTTCTTTGCTATATTTGAGAAAGAACTAGTATTTGTGCTAATCGTCTCTCAAATCTGAGCTCTCCTTTTTTCCTAATTTATTTTTGCTCATTTCTTAAGAGGGCTGAGATTATTAGCCTCACAATTGTTTTAAGAATGACCAAATATGTACAAGTTGGTTTCAGTATAATAAAAGTAATGCAAAAATATACAAAAGAGATCTGTGATTATGGGATTCCTCTTGGGAGCAGAATTTCTCTGCTAGTTTCATAGTAACGAGGGCTACGTAGCTCTCCCCACTGAATACCCCAGAGCAAATAATGTTGAAATGTAACTCAAACGATTCCAAAGAAAGGAAAGCAACACATTATGAACAGTAATTCAGCACCTAAATCATACTAGGCATCCTCTACAGATAAAAATCAGAAACAGGCTCTGGTCACAAGCCTAAATTCTAAGGGAAAGACACACTTGGAAAAAATGCAAAGCGCTTTTCAGTCATCCAACAGTGCAAAACCTTTTGGTTTCACAAAGAATGTGTGCAATGCATACGTTCTCAGTTAAGAACCCTTCAAAGGTTTAAGTGAGGTCTTCCTTTTTTTTAGGAGAAGGAAAAAACCCTAAAAATACAACACAGAGAAGGAAAATGTGGCCATATATAGTAAATCATTAAAAAACAGATTATTTGTTGCTGGCTGAAATAAAAACTGGGCCCCTGCTCTGAAATGGAAGCAAACAGCTAGTCTAGCTTCAGCTTTTCTCCAAATTTTTCCCTATCCCAGGTTAAACAAGAATTTGGTGAGCTTTATCTGTTGTCCCATTCCTCAGTGTAATTTTCTCATATAAATGAGCCCCTTCCCTTTTGCTTCTCTTCCCTTTGAAAACTGTCTTCATAGTTCAATGCTGCAGGTCAGTACACATTTCCTTCATCTGTAGTTTAACTTTTGTGGATTTGATTATTCACGGATTTGATCAATATAGCCTTTCTAGGAACCTCTAAATTGACCAGTGTGACTATGATCATACTAAAGGGCCTAGAGATTTCTAACAAAATTTTCTCTCATGTTAAAAAGGTATTTTATTCACTTTCCTCCACTTTCATGGAGATCCTATGGCTTTAACCCAAGCAAATGTGGAAAACTAGCTTTATTATTAGCCTTTGCATTACTGTTCAGACAGAATCTCACATTGGGACATCATGAATTAGCCACTGATTTTCGGAATATACAAATACTAAGGATGTTGTTGGGGTTGCTGCAAGATTCTTCTCAAGTACCCAACTCACAAAATAGAGAAAACATTATGTAGACTAGTTGCAAGAAAAGACAAAATTCTTGGAGCAGGAGAAACAGGAAGTCCTCACCACCTCAGAAAACTGCTTGAACATTCAGACATGCAGAACTGCACCAAGTTTAGATTCTGTTCACAAATGTTGCTACAATGGATCCAGTATATGATTTTCCTCCACAATTCATCTCTGATAAGAGCAGCATTTCCCAACCCACAACCTCTAAATGGGTTATGACAATATTCAACATCACCAAACACCCCTGAATCTGGATGGGGATGCTGGGAACCATTATCAAACTCACTTGAAAGAGAATATGTGGGGAAGGCTGCCATGCTCCATTTATGAATACCATTCAGTCTCACTACTTTGGGGAAAGCCTGTAAGAGGATGAACAGAAGGGAGAGGTAAAAGACCTATAAGGAGCGAATATGACATAGAGGTTTGAGTGTTGGACAACAACCCAGGAAAACAATGCTGGAATTTTTGCTTGGCTATGAAAACTCACTGGGTAACTTTGGGTGAACTGCAGACTCTCAACCCCAGAAAACCCAAGATAGGGTCTTCATAAAGTCAGAAATGGTCCTGAAGACACACAGTAACAACAATAAAGAGACCAAGAAGACTTGAACTGACATTTCCCAGCAACCATGTTGCACACTTCAATGTACATTAATTTCAGCATCAACACACGTCAAAGAATAAGCATAAAAATTGTCCTGTGATCAACAGTACTTCAGTTCCTAACAAACAGATCCATTTCCTTAACTTTCTCAACAGCAAATTAGCCACAATACCTCCTGAAATCTCAGACATCCTCAGGTTACTTCTAGTTTATGGAGAGGCAGTATTTTCATTTATTGTTGGTTACAAAGCTGAGTTCCACATATAAACAGTCATAGCTAACATTCAGAGGCAGCTCCACTTCCACTGGATCAGCAGGTTACATTTCAGCTCTAGACAACATTCAGTCTCTGAAACGTCAATCCCAAAGTCATGATGGATTTGATGGTAAGGGTAGGTTTCGGCAAATAACAGAGATCCTTCGCTCCCGGGGGACCTTCCTTCCATCAAAAAAGGACTCCTCATCTTTAAGGATCTCATGAGTGAATTCATAGCGAGCTGGCCCTCTTCACCCAAAAAAAGAATTACACAAGATGTCAGTATATAATCCAGAAGGAATTTTGTTTCATGTTTTAGAAAGATACCATGACACACACACTCAGAGGCAGAAAAAAACTTTGTGCCTTCATATTAAAATTCAGACATTTTGTATTCACCTTTCTTCAGCAGTCCTAAGGGAAATCTCAATCACATATAAATACATACATACACAGACATACATGTATATACACATACAGAGAGTTCAGAAATACAGTCCATAATGTATATATGCCAGAGCTTGGAAATATTTTGGGGAGCTGT